TTTGTGTATACAGTTTGTGGGGGAAGTCGGAGAGTATGTTCTGTAGTTCGCCTAAAATAATGAAACCCGAGTGTTTGTGTATACAGTTTGTGGGGGAAGTCGGAGAGTATGTTCTGTAGTTCACCTAAAATAACGAAACCCGAGTGTTTGTGTATATTTTTATTGCAAAGTTACTAAAGCTATCTTCGTCGTCTCTAATTTTTAACTATTAACTAGAAGGAACCCAGTCAGTCAGCAGCATCTTACTACATCGCACGTTATGGAACTGACTATCGCTCTTGTTTGTTTTTTTTGTTTGTAGTTAAGCACAAAGCTATACAAAGGGCTATTTTGCTCTGCCCACCACGGGTATCGAAAGCCGGTTTCTAGCATTGTAATTCTGCAGACATATCGCCGTGCCACTGAGTGGGGGGGGGGGGGGTATTGCTCTTGTAACGCACACGCAGCTTTAAGCGAGAGAAATAATTTGTGATATCACATGGATTCGAACCCAGATCTGAAATCCGGATCACTATCACACGATCAACTTGCGCCCCAAAATATCTAGTAAGTATTTCAACTAATTCACTAATTCTTTTTTAATTATTTTAGACTTCTATAAGAACTTTGTGGTAGGTATTTTCATATTCAAGATCTGAACACTGAAATGCGGATGCTAAAAGAAAACAACGTAAACCTTTCTTTTCAAATGCTCCGCGTTGAAGCATCAGTTAAAGTATTTACGTAATTGTACTCCAATCTCCAATATTCAATTTACGTACAGTGTACCTCGCACATTGCAGGGACGCAGCGATAGGTGGCGCTGTTGCCTCTGGGCCCAGAACGACCAACGGCTCCGAAGTAGATTCTCAAATTTCTTATTTGAAAGTTTGAATATTCGAACTGAAGTAAAAATATTTTGAAACACAGAAAAATCAAATTTTAACGGGAGCAATATTTTTTACTCCTAGGGCTCTTTGAGACCTAGTTATGTCACTGGCACATTGGTTCTACGTTTGCATGTAACGAAAATTGAAAATGCACCAAAGGTTAAGTAAATATAATGATTTATCCATAAAAATGTCACTCTAATTGTGTTAAACAAACATAACCACACGAATCATTGCTTTGTTTCGTGAAAATATTGTTTACAAAAAACGAGAAAAAAGGAATGTAACAATAACACTTACTCCTCCATGATTTCGTAAAGTAAACTAACACCCATTATAAGTGTTGAAAAAACGTCTGATTTCTTTAAAACGTGACAACTCATAAAAACCTGTTGACGATGTTCTAAAACGTAATTTTGCTTTACCCTAAACTATTATTTTACAAACGTATATGTTTGTAGTTTTTCGTGTATAACTGGCGAAACGCTTGACCGATTGCCACCAAATCTAGCATGCATGGTTAGGGGCCCCTATGTCCTCCCCGTTAGATATCAACAAATAAATCAAACTTACTAATTGCACTTTAAAATCATAGCTCCTCTTCGTTCTATGCATTACTATATGGATATATTCGTAAGCGTAATAAAAAATTAGTTCAACGTTGTTACAATTACCATAATTAACATACCTGATAATACTGTCCTTAAAACGTCAGTTCTATTTCAGAAACATTGAAGCATAGATACCAATTCGACTTTACTATAAAATTAATAGCACAGAAATATTTATAAACTTAAATATACTTAAGAAAAAATATATAAATATATCTCTAAACGTTATTTTGAAATGTCTGGCATACAATTACAGACGACAAATTACAGAGTAAAGGTTTTATAGAACATCAATTTGGCTTTGTTAAAAGAAAAATTATTCATCATAAGCACGGTAGTACTTATAATAGGAATTGGGCGGGTACACAATACATGAAATACAAACTATTTACTCATATGCATCTTTAACAACCAAATAATACATTTTCAAAAGTATTTGAGAGACACCCTTAGGTGATATACACAGCGTGGTCACAAGTAAATAGACACCACCTTTTCAGAAAAAAATATTTTTTTCAGTCATATTCACATGAATTGATATATTTATAATTTAATTAATATCTAGTAGACTTTCCTTTCGCTTCGTGGAGTTCGTTGATTTTTGGGGCACCGTGAGAATCATCTCGTCAATTTAGATTGTGGGATTTTCGCCCACTCTTGCTTCAAAACTTGGAGTAGATCAAAGCTGGGTTTTTTTTGGTTGTTTCTTGACTTGCCAGTCGAGTATGGCCCAGAGGTTTTCGATGGGGTTCA